TCACACCCATTTCCACTGCAGGTGGCCCTGAATGACACAGAGAATGAGATTAAAAAAACCCTGAAATTCACATTGTGTTACAAATCAAACGAAAACTTTTTTTTTTAATGACACCAGATAAATTGTCTAAGGGGTATAAAGGTACTTCTAATCACTATTGGGATTAAGAAAAATATGAGGGGACATTTCATCATTAGTGGGGTGAAAAAGTGAAAAGATACTGGAGGGAAATACATATGGTAATACAGAGAGTTTTAAATCTTAACATTCAGATGAAACTGAAACTTTTCTTCGTTAGGATTTATAGACACCCAACTAGGAAAGGCTCATGGACAAATGGATTTATATGTATATGGTTACTTCAGTAAGGCTAATTTATTCCCAAAGATGGAAAACTACAGAAACTCCAAAGATGGAAGAAAATAGACTGTGATGAAGGTGGCTGAATTGACAAAAGTGTCTAAATTTACTTCTTTGATTAAAGAGGGAACTAGACCTATTTTTATAAAAGACTAGAAATCCTTTATAGAGTTTTTTTTGCTGAAAATAGATAAAAATGGCTGATTTTCAGATTTATTGATTAAAAGTTTTGTTTCTTTAGGGGAAGAAGGGAAATATGATATGCAACTTGAGGGCATGGGAACAGTAATTGCTAGGTTTATATTTGCTGCAAAGAAGATCAGAAGTAACTTTTTAGATTCCTCTCTTTTTTCCTGCTTTTTTGTTATCCTTCACTTTTTGTTTTATCTTTTAGAATCTTTTTTCTATTTCTTCTTCCAGGATTTTAAAACCTTTGTAAAATTCATTTTAGTAAAAATTGTTCAATAAAAAAAAGAAAATATACATGCCCCAGTTTTTCCCTGAGCAGTAAATAATATGTACCATTCTCTTTGATAATTAATAACATTAGCATCACATATTTAGCATAGATAGAAATATGGATAATAATTAACAGTCTTACTCTTTGCATTAACTCTTTTCTTCTAAAAGATGGATAAATAAGAAAAGAAATTGCTTCTGGTGGTGTTAGGAAAGCATGCTTTGACTTATTGTGAAGTTCTGATTTCCAAATCTGGAAGTAATTTATAGCTGAATGGAAGTACTTTTTTAAAAAAATAGAAGAACTATACATGGACTGTGGGAAGTTATCATCCAGCCCTCCCCCAGAAAAATGAAATATCCTAGGAAATATTGAAAAGGCAGAATATTTCTCTGGATATGAAAAGAAAGAAACATGTTTTAAAAGACAGAATAGTTGCCTGTAGCTTCCTGCCCATCCCCACTGTTAATGGGCCATTAAGACAGCCGAGCTAGTCCACTTTACATAATAAAGACTTCTCCACCAGCTACAGGAAAGCATGATAACATTGGCCCTTTACTCAACTGACCACATGGCATCTGAGAACTCATCCATACCTGGATTCAAAACCTGGAGAGTTGCCCCTGCATGGCCCTATGGGAGTCTGACAACCAATCAGAATACATTTCTTACACAGGAACAGGAAACAGAGAAGTGGGACTGAACAGGTTATAAAAAGCCTAGCAAGCCCCTCCCTCAGCCCTTCTCTTCTTCTCCACCAACATTGAAACATGTGATCACCTTTTCTGTTCAGGGCTCAAGCCACGTGGTCCTGTCCACCAATAAACCATCTTTCCAAGCAGCCTCCATGTCTCCAGTGTCTTTTCCCCCCACTTGGAGCCGAACCCAGAAGGACGTTTCTTCCATCAGGACAATGGAATGGAGAATGGAAAAATACAGACTGAAGAAATAAACCTGGCTGGCCCTTTCAAAATTGCCTGTGGCGTTGGAAGATGATAGCTATCATATAAACACTTAAAAGGATATGAGGAACAGCAAAACAAAACAAAAAAAAATATATTGAGTCATGCAGCTTCTGAAAACTTTTCAGTTATGGAACTTTTTCACAGAGTTCACATGTGTGAGACAGATGAGACAACCTGAAAACATTTGACTAAAAAAAAAATAGAAAGCCCAAGCATCGTTCCTAGCATCTTAACACCCTCTTTGAGTCTCTTAAGTTATGGTCATTTCCCCCTCTAGTGATCCACAGCTTCTTTTTCTGACTAACAGATGTCATTAAAAGTCATGAGTTCATGAGTTTCGTCTAGCTTGTCCTGAAAACAGGAGATTACTTTTTTTAACCCCAAGGCTCTTCTCCTGAAGCATCTTCTAGAGTTATTTATGAGGGCTGGTTCTTATTGATTACAAAATAACTAGTAACTTCTTTATCAACCCGGCTCACCTTCTCAAAAAAAAGGACTGTCTCCTTGAATCAAAAAGTGTATATATACTGTGTTTTTTAAACTGTTTTCGTTTTCTCTCCCCTATTTGTTGTTTTTATTTTATCTTGTATTTGTAAGCCGCCCGGAGTCCTCCGAGATTGGGCGGCATATAAGCTCGTTAAATTACGAATTAATTAATTACAGTAGCTTTTTCATTTAAAGTACCCACTAAAATTCTTGTGTTGTTGCTGTAACATTTTTTTTCCTAATAAAGGTAACTAATCTTATTAATGTGTAGCCATAAATTAGCCATATTTCACTTAATATAGAGAATAAGGAAGGTTTGACAGAGATATGCAAACTCCATTGCCAAAGCAACAAGAGATAAAGCATTTTTTTTTTTTAAAGTCCAGGATGTCCAAATAGAATCTGGAAGCCTCTCAGACAGAAATGTTTATAATTCATTAAATCATAAGGTTCATTAAATCGTAAGAGATACAATACAATTGGACCTGCAAGATTTAATACAATACAATTGGACTTGCAAGATTCTGCTTTATAGCCAGTCTCAATAAAAATAATTTTAGCCTTCCTGTAAAGTTGATTTCTTGGACTTGTGAGACAGACACATACGAATTTTTTTTTACTTCAAAATGAAGCAAAAAAAATGTCTAGTTATATGTAACAGAATGTATTAATTCTCTCCTAATCAATATGAGATCATTATATTTCATGCGACATAACATAATCTTATCTAAATTTTCCTCCCTCCTGCGTTCTCTCTCTAATTCTCTAATTCTTTCCCAAAAAGAATGCTGCTAATTCTTTTTAAAGTATATTACTTTAAACGAAACCTAAAGTCACTTTTCTATTTTCTCTTTCAACTGTTTGTCCTGAATAATAACCTTTATTAATAATCACAGTGTATGACACTTTAATTATAGTGCCTATAAGCTTATAATGACCCCCCAAAAATCATTATTTCCATATGAAGGACTGATTTGAATGCAAGTCTATAGATTTGACTGATCTCCAATAATATGCAGCAATATAATGTACGCTAATTAAATTCATTAGACAACTCTGGCCTTCTAGTCTATATGGAAAAAATAATAATTAACTGGATTTAGGTTTTATTAGTTGAAAGCGTGAATAAAGCCAGACATTCCTTTCAATAACGATTCTTACAGATATTATATAAGCAAAGGATTAGTAAATCTTTTGGCAGCTTGTTCATCAGCATCACAAATATGCAGACCAAGTGCAGAAAATAATTCCAACATGAAGAAACAAAGACGAACTACGTACTATTCGGTCATGGAAAAAACACAAGTCAACCACGTCTTTGGATTTTTCTGTAGATGACATGATGGGCAATATACGGAATATGTTTGGAAACAAGATATTTGGATACAACATCACGAAATAGTAACAGTAATATTCCATCAATTACTTCTCCCTTTTTTTAAAAAAAACTACCTTCTGGCTACATTAGGGTCCTTCGAGGACAGGAGTGAGCAAACAGTTTCACCTCAGAGCAACCTACCAGCATCCTTTAACAGAAATTCAGGAAGAGCAGAGACAAAGGTTGATAGGGCAAATTTTTTCTCTCAAGGCATTTGAAGAATTTCAGAATTTTTACAAAGGGTGGGGGAGGATGAAGGGTGGAAATGCAAACAATTTGCCAACTAGAAGAGTCTCGTTCCTATTGCCATCCTTAGAATCCATAAATAGATAGATAGATAGATAGATAGATAGATAGATAGATAGATAGATAGATAGATAGATAGATAGATAGATA